TAATCATGTATTATTGAAAATTTCATTCAAACTACCATCAATGGTAGACTCAAATAAATTAATATCATGATATTAAAGTCACATATTTCAATGCAATGAATAAATTAAATGCCCTTTGAAATGGATAGATTGAAAAATTGAAGATGAATATTTTATTTGATATTTTTATTATATTTGCATTTTCATTTCAAAACATCAATCATACTCTATAAAAACTCTCCCCATCCTTTTCATTGACTGAAAAGAATTAATTGAATGTTGAATAATTACATTGATTTTTATTAAAATAAAAAAAAAACAATTATTATTATTATTAAATAATTTATTGGAATTAATATCCATATAAATACAACTAAAATTCAATAAAAATAACTCTATCATGACTGAGGAAAGGCTAGAATGCATTGAGAAAATTATAGAGCAATAATTATTATATTGAAGACGTAATATAACTTAATTACAAAATTGATTTCAACAAGAACCAAAAAAATATGCGGGACAATTGTATTTTCAAAAAGACGTGTGAGGTCGATTCTCTTTACATACATATTTATTCACTTCACACTACCATAATTACCTCAAATGGAGGGTAGAATTGCTATGAAGGAGAAGGAGAAGACTCTCGTCCTGTTGCAAAGCACTCGAGCGTACCGACACTTCACAACACCTGGGTGGTATAAGACCGCAGGTATGTGCATGCACATGTATTTTCATCCACGATTTTTATTCATATATCTTCGTTAAATAATGTACCGAATTTTTTTCACAAAAGTTACTTTTATTTTTGCCAAAAATTTCAAAACTAATAATTTCTCTGTTATAATAACAGATAATTTCTATAATATTTTATAAATTGTTGCTGATGTTCGTGAAGTCTAATTGAATAAATACTATGTCTTTAAAATAATATACAATATTAAATAAAGTTAATATAACTTTTCTTCCACAGTCAATAGAGAACAGATAAATTTCTGAAACTTTCATAACAACTTATGATTTGTCTTTCAGTTTGCTTAAAAAGTATTGGTATTATTTCGAAGACAATCGTTTGCACTTTTAATAATAAAAAAATAAAAAATAACAAGTCTAAATTTATTTGTCATGAAAAAGTAGTTTTGTTTTTACTCATGACAGACGTCACGGTAATAAAAATGACATAAAAAATCCTTTTGGTCTAGTTGCAGAGATTTTCCATCGTGACTACATCATCTATGCAGCTTTTCCGTTAGTACTTTCGACGTCGTTCATTATTCGCGAACGTCAGCCCCAAGCAACGATGCGACAGAGGACCACAGCAAAGTCCAGGACTCTGTCGTTCACATTCACCAGCGACGAGCTTCCGTCACGACTTTTTCTACAACGTTCTCGCGCCCGCTCGTAAACACGCAGGACATTTAATTTGCGCGTTACGACCAAGTGGTTACTCTACTCCGTCGTTTGGATGTTTTACAGAGAAAAAAAAAGCAAAAAAAAATCCTTTTATCTTTCTTTCCGTCTTTCTCGAATGCTCGTAAAAGGTACGACGAAGCAACGACCGCAAAATAGCCAAGGGTGGTAACCAGAGATAACTAGAAAACTGAGAAATATCACTAGAGTCATGCAAAGTCCAAAATTACTTTGAAAATTATTCTTTGTGATTTGTCATGTTGAAAGTGAGAAATTATTCATCACCTGCCGTTTATTACTACATGGATCTCAGTAGTTAGTGGGTTGAAATAATCGTATTACTAAGACAAAATATCCAGTAACAATGCCACGTATCACTAACTGTACAAACAAACATACTTGCTCACAACTTCTTTTAGTGAAACGTGGCATTGTCTTATAAGATAAAAAACTCAGGTAATTGGTAAAAATATTAACCACAAAATTTTTTTTTGTCATTCAGTGTCCTACTGCACGCAGAGATTAGTATAGTAATTTGTAGGACCCACTATTACAGCATCATTTCTTACACACGTATCAAATTCAATGATATAATCAACAATAAACCATACAAGATTACTAAAATATGGAACTGCTGCTCTATCTCGAATAAAAGCAAGCATTGATGCATCTTCAATTTAATTTATTTTATTAAAAAAATAGTAGATAATTGGTAGAACAGCTTCAATGACTTGTCACAACAGAGAAGCCAAAATCTCGGTGATGCCGTAAAAATTGTCGCAGTCGAGACAGAAATTTGGAATACGAGCGAGAAACAGAAAGAAGATATAAAAAATTAAATTCGTAAAAGGTAAAAATCTTTTTTTATTAGTTTGCTGGTTAGCGCCATGATGTCTAATGCTAGAGTACCATTAGCATTGCACCTTACCATCAAATCAGACATCGTGCGAGCCGCAAGCAGACAAATGTATAGTAAAAATTACCCTGAATTTTATGGTAATTTGGTGGCACTGTAGTGTGATAGTTAAAATTACTAAACTACATAGTAATTTTTAAGGTAAAATTAGAGTAAAAATTACTATGCAGTTTAGTAATTTTTACAATGTGTATAGTAAATTTTTACCCTCATCCTGCAGTGTCACCAAATTACCATAATATTCAGGGTAATTTTTACTATACATTGCTCTGCGTGTAGAAAAATGTCTGTTCCTATATATAAATCGGGGAGAATTAATTTATCAAACGGGGAAACGGACATTCTTCTAAGGATTAACTTAATAGAAAACAAACAATTATTCTGGGATCGTTATCATTCAAAGTGAACTCCGATGATATTTCTTACGATATATTTATAAATATATAGAGTCCTGATGTCGTACTCAGATCTATATCCAATTTGAATCGAAAATGAATTTAGTCTTTTTTATGTTTAACTATCAATTGTGAATAATTTTATTTTTAACTGTTAATAAAGATACTCATTAATTATCGATTTCATTTACTTTGAAATTATTTAAAGAATTGATTGCTAAATATAAGTAGAAATAAGAACTTATTAGTAAAATAATGAAATTATAAAAAAAAATGTATCATTAATTTATGATTTCAAAAAAAATTATGTACATTTCTTTTCTTATTCTAAAAATTGCTGACATACTTTTTTTTCATAGTTTTATGTAACAAAATTTTTTTTTATCAATAATACTTTGTTCGAAATATAAATCATAATTTACAAAATTCAGTGACTAATAATTTACCTGTTCTTTTTTCTTCCCTCTCAACAACTGGTTACAAATAGTTTTACCAGATTAGAGTAGATATAATTTGTGCTGTGAATATAATTTGTATACACGTAGATCACACAAGTGATGTGTCTACATTGACATTGTGTCAACCAATAAATACGACCTCAACAAAATTACATTTGTACACTTCATGTGCACTTTTTTTTGCATTCATTTTTTTCTAATATCATTTCATACCATTATTATTGTCCCATTGGGCATGTATGTATGTGTATTTGCATGAACACATATTTATATATTATATAATTCAGTGTTTGTTTACGTGCGAGACACACGTGACAAGCGCAGTGTTAGATTATTTCGCGGATAAAAATACGTAGTTCGTAAATTTATTCTCGTCCGTAATGGAATTAGCGCGGCGCGTTTTACACGCGATATTTCGATTATACGACCGATGCAACGACCATCTACTCTAGTAGTCTACGCTTTTGAAAATGTTATTTCACTTGTACTCGACGGTCTGTTGGTAATAAATGATTCATCGCTGAAACTGTTATTGTCAAAAAATTGAAAATACTCTATAAATTCTTTATAGTTTACTTTATATGCTACAATGAAAATTTATCCTTAATATCAATTGCCACAATTTCAAAACAATTTATTTCCTTTTATTATCAACTAAAGTTCTACTCATAATATACGTTTGAGAAAAAACTTTATTTATTTTTGTCATTTTTTTAAAATAAGTTTAATTGAAACGATCACGTTTAAACCATGTTAAATGAAAAAAAAAAAAAACTGAAATGAGTTTGACAGGTACAGTTTTCCCACACTAGCCCTTTCAAGTATTGAAGCTGAAATCATGTGCAGATTTAGAAAGGGTGATGCAAACTAACAAGCTAGACAGCTGAAAATGTCAAAGAGTTAAGGGTAGATTCCAATTCTACAAGGGCCATTGGCATTATTCATTGAAAATAGCATAGTGTATTGGATTGAACTGAAATCAACTCATTTCAAAAACATTCCTCGTATTCAGTTACAAATTTATTCAATACTTTAGTTGAAAATATAATTCTATCGTTTTTATTCTCAACACAATTTGCATCAATTACCTTACAATATTGGAGATTACCAATGATGAATTATGATTTATTGATAAATGACATGATTATTTAAAGCTATGTTATGGAATATTTTATCAGCGCCAAAATACAATATCAATAAAGAAAAAAATAAAATACAGAATATATTCTTGTTTAGTACTTTATACCATCGAGAAAATTATTATATAATTATGTATCAATAGCATGTAAATAATTGAAGAATCAATTGAATAATTTAAAATGTTTAAATTTTATAATAAGAATCGCTACTCTAACTACAATCGATAAAACAAACATCTTAATGATAGAAAGAAAATAGAGTTACCGACCGCGCATAAAATCGCGTGCACATAACCATTGTAATTCGTTTTGAAAACTATACGTAATATTTTGTATTTTCAGATGTGTTGATCGATTAAATGGAAAAAATGCGAGGTTTTTAATAAAGATTATTATCAAATTTTCGGAATGTAGGTCACTGCTTGCTACATGTCACTTTACTCCGAAAATATTACTTTAGCATTACACTAAACTTCACTTCGTTATAGTTTTTATACATAAAAAAACTTACTACCACAACTGCAATATGCAGAAAAAAATATGTTTTAATATTGAACATACTCAAGATATAAAACTACGAATTTTGTGTAAATTATTCTTTCACGATCCAAGTCACAAAAAAGATTCAATTTAAAGAAAGAATTTATCACTAGTGACTCCATTATCAGTAATCGATATTATGACGCTTACCAACAACTTTGAGCCTCTCTGAATACATATCCAGTCCACATTGTATAGACTAAATAATGGCATTTGCAGCACGTAGTTTTCGAATTTTATGTAAAGTATACAATGGCAATTCAAACGCAACATACTCGACTTTACGAAAACCATTTACAAAAATAAATTTTTCACAAGCGGCTCAAAAATGCCAATATTCTACGGAAAGTAAGTTTATTCTTTCTTATAACCTTACTCATAAACGTAAATCGTTTTGAAATAGACCACGATAATCTTTTAATGTTCTGTTACAATGAATACTGATAAAATGATTTTTATTTCAGGTAAATCACCCAAGATTACAGGTAGTCTAACAAATATTCAAGCATCATTATCAACACCAGTTCCAAGTCAAACTTTATCTGAAAAAATAAATCAAAATCAAGAAAACACATCTCAAGAAGATGAAGAAGAGAAAAAGAAACGTGAACATTCATGGAAGATGATGAAGTACAGCTTTATTGCTTTTGGAGCCTCTATAGGAATTGCTGGATCTATGTTTATTTATGAATTATCACAACCAACTTATGATGAAAATGGAAATATTCAAGAAGATGAATACTCACATTTGCCTTTTGTTCAACGAGTTTGGTTTAGATTCTTTCGAGCAATAAACTATTATAAAAAGGTAAACTATTAGATAGATTAAGATATTATATACTAAATAATTTATAAAAAATATTTAATTGATTTCTGTTATGCAAGTTGATAATTAAAAAATCTTTTTTATACTTTCTTGCTGCTTACAGCTTGTCCAAGAGCCAAGTCGAGAGAAATTATTACCAGATCCGGTGAAATATCCTTACATCCAGCCTCCATACACTTTAGTATTAGAATTAACCGATGTGCTGGTACATCCAGACTGGACAGTATGTTGAAAAAGTTTTTAATCATTATAATAATAGTATATGACTATTTATTTTATCTATTTATTGTCTAAAATGATTGATTACAGTATAAAACTGGTTGGAGGTTCAAGAAACGTCCAGGAGTAACTCAATTTTTAGAGGCTGTAGCTCCTCCTAATTTTGAAGTTGTTATATATACAGCTGAGCAAGGAATGGTAATATAAACAGTCAATTTTGCTTCTCAAGTATCAAAGTTGACAAACTTTAAAATAATGTTAAATAATTATTTTCAGACGGTCAAGTTTATATTAGATTCATTAGACCCTAATGATCATGTCTCGTATATTTTGCCAAGAGATACAACTCGATTTGTAGATGGACACCATGTAAAAGATTTAGACGCTCTCAACCGAGATCTTAAGAGGGTATGAATTATTTTATAATTAACAGCTAATTTTACTTCATCTGAGTTAAAAACTATAAAACTACATATTATAAAACATACGATTCAATGTAAACTGTTTTTATTTTTCGAAGGTAATAGTGATAGATTGGAATCCAAATAGTGTTAAATTACATCCAGAAAATACACTAATACTTCCTCGATGGACTGGTAATGACAATGACACAACGCTTTATGACTTAGCAGTATTTTTAAAAAGTAATTAATTTTTTATCACATTTCTATCAATTAAAAAAAATGAAATTAATAAATAATTTTATTGTCAATACAGCCATTCTAACATCTAATCTTGATGATGTACGAGATGCTTTGGCGTACTATAAACAATTTGATAATCCAATGGAAGCTTTTAGAGAAAATCAGAGAAAATTACTGGTAAGTGTTACGATGAGTAATAAAATACAGCTCAAAAATACCTAACTATACAAATAATTGTGTTTCTAGCTTCAAATTCAAGAAGATGAAATTCACAAAGCTCAAAGAGAAAGCAGCAAAAATTTAATATCTAAATGGTCACCGTCTTTTTTGCGATCGCATTGATAAAAAATATATATGTTATATAATATAACGCGTACATATTTTGTAATAGTTATTACTTTGAATTAATTAATTTTTTATTATATATTATATATTTTATTATATTCATTGAAAAAGCTGATAAAATTTATATGGATCTTATCATGAATTATGTAGCTGTCTGTAATAGTTGGATTCCGGCAATAAGACATTTTATTTTGAAAATAAAATATAGAAACTTACAATTCCAATCAGTACTTTGATTACTTCCTATAGACTTTACAATATGGAATATTTCTTTATACATTAGATGTTATTGTGTTGATCTGAGATAATATTCGTTGAAATTTTTATGATTAAAGTGTTATTTATTTAAAATTTAAATTCTGAACAGTTTGATATTGATAAAAAAATTGTGATAAATTGAATAACGTAAGATGAAAATTGAATTAATTAAAGGAACATCATTGGATGTGATAATTTCCATAGGTACAGGAATTAAAGATAATGACTTGATCGATATTCTCGATAGTTAAAGCATCGTTGCACATGGGCAGTCGGTCATAAATAGATAGTAAATTTAAGGCGCCTCGAGCGGGAAAATATAGATATATAAAAGTATATGGACCTTTACGCACTAGTTTTAGGCAAATAAATAGATATAATAAGAAAATATCTATAGGAAAAGATTCGCGCAACAACAATCTATGGAAAAAAACGAGATGAAGACGATTGATTGAAGAATAAGCAAAATATTCGAAATTAAAAATCTACAGCGATTTGACAGATTCCGGTCGGCCATATGTAAACGAGTAAAAGTTAGAAATATAAAAAACAATCAATTGACATGAATCATTTTCGAATTAATCGTTCAAGAGTGAACAGACTGAAATTTTTAAGTGAAAGTGTGAAAAATTATTGATCTTACGAGGTATAATAATTTTTTTTTTATTACAATATTTATTCTGTACTTCAGAAGAATTATTATTGATTATATTCAATTATTCATTAATCTTTAATTAAACAATTATAAAATATATTAAAGAAAAACTAATCATCAGTTAGTGCTTCGATTATTTTTTATCATTTATAATCTCATTTTTCTAGCAAAATATCATTCATTACAAAATTTTCGAGGTTTTTTTACAGATGGCTAATAATAGCCAATCCCCAAGATCCAAATATTGCGGCAGCGGAGGCCCAGATTTGGAGAAAAGGCCGGCTTCTCGAACAAACTATAAGGAATTCTTAATAACAAATAATGTTATATGATAAAAAATATTTTTTTTAATATTCATCAAATTTTTGTAAAATTTTTGCAAGCAGCCCAAAATAAAAAGTTGTGTAAAGTTTATATGCTTTCTATATTCTTTATATATAAACATTTTTAGTACTGTAACTCAAGCTTTTATGTTAATTGTCTATTACACAGTCTGCTGCTATCTAAACTTTCGATAATGAATAGTTAAAAAATTTGGTAAAGTTACGACTTTATAATGAAACGACATTAAAAAAGATTGGATTATATTATTATATGAGTAAATGTCTATAAAGAATGTCCGTTCCTATAAATTAGCGAAAATTTACCTTTTAAACCGAGAAACGGACATTCTTGACCGGATTAACCCGAAGGAAAACACTAAAACTCTTTTCAAAAGAGCGTCAACTATTCATTATCGAGAGTTTAGATAGCTACAGATATCGTTGAATTCATCGAAAATTAACAGTAAACAACTGACACCACTACAAATTTGTATCTCACGTGCAAAAACTTGTTGACTAATCGTCAGACAAAGATAAACTTGATGCTCCAGCTTTCTTAATATTAAATGGACTATTCTGTAATGACATTCGCTTTTTCAAATTGCTTGTGTGAAATTCTGTAACTCGGATAGAATTTAATCGTATAGGATATCGTTCAGTTTTTGGAAAGTAATTTCCAATTTGAGTTTTGTAAATATTTTGAGTTGATCTAAATTAATGCTTATAAGCGTTGATACTATAAGAGATACGATTTTTTATCCTACACCGAATCTTTATTACACTTTTCTTGATGATTAAAAATGAAAAAAAGTGGCTACCGGTCATTCCAGAGTTACAGGAATTTGCACACACTTTCTGAGCCGTCGAAAAAATTTCTTCGATTCGTCGTCAACAATTGTGCTACAAATTTGCAGTAAATTTAAGTGAATTGTAAATTTTAGTGGAAAGTTACTGGCAAGATGTCAAATGTCAAAACCTTATTGGAATATCACATCACTATAAAAAAACAAAGAATTTTGAAACAGCTTAAGCCATTGTTCGAGATTCTAGTGATTGAAATTGATTCTTGTACATTGGCTTTTATAGGAATCACCATTAAAGTTACTCTAAAGTCACGTTTTCTTCAGAATTTCTTAGATAGTAACGAAACATATATTTTTTTGAGGACAAAACATTCCTTGTAATCTTTCTTTAACATCTGCAAGCCACTCATAATATTCTTCTAAGTATACTTAGAATATGCTAGAATGCTTCTTCTAAGTATGCTTAGAATATGCTAGAATAATACCTAGAATAAGCTTCTGTCAACAGTAATTTCCAGTTAGTCGAACAGAGAAAAGAACACTCCAGACAGAGAGGATAGACGGATGCAGAGGTCTAATCTTAATAGGCGCTTAAAGACGGACCTTTTACACGTATTAGCCAAACTTTTATGTAAACAATTGTATACCTGTTAGCCGAAATTTCGTCCAGATTTTTAACCCGGGATTGGACTTTTATACCAGCCCCTCTTCTCTGCACCAGGTGTTTGTCAGGCAGATTTCTTCGGGCAAGCATACAATACAAAATTAAACCACTGCGCAGACTCAGAACAAAACATTGTGTAGTGGGGAACGAACATTTGAAACATTATTGTATAAGTTCAGCTCTATAGGTCGGTAGTTCTCAGTACAACGTAGCGTAACATTGTAGCCGATACTATAAAAATAATATAGAATCCTGAAAGAGTAAGACAGACTGCCCTAACATTTATTTATAACAGTGTAACTACTCGCTCAGTAGTTTGACTTTTTCAATCTTCTTTGAACGTCTGTGATTACAAGTTGAAACCATTGTTCTATATTACATTAAACAGTCTACTGTAGTTTTAAAATAACTCAATGAAAAATTTACATAAAACAGAAATTAATAAGCACAAAATTATTTAGTGAAATAATTAAATTCAATTGCAGTATATAAAAACAGTGTGGTGAAGTATATGAGGTTCTACATTTTAAATATCCAATATACCATAAGAAAAGTCAGGTTAGTATCCACAACTTTATAATTATTATTGTAGCAAAGATTTTTTTCATCATACCGGCGTAAAAAGCTTACTCTTTCATTTAAGAAAGGTCGAACTTACTGCACAGATATGTTGAAAAATTATATCAAGCCCTAGAAAAGACAATCAGACTATTTTATTCTACGTGTTTACCACCTCCGTCTTCGGCTCAGGAGGTGACTTTATATGTGATTTAAACTAGTCTAATTTTCCTTCTTAGCATAAGTAAAAAATGTACTATTTTTATCAAAAAAAGATATCAAAATATTAAATATGACATTTTTTTTTTTTAGTTGCCGAGAATCCTAATTTCAGATATGGCAACCATTATCCATATTGATAATTGTTCAAGCATGTCTTTGCACTTAGCTTGCAAAAATCAAAATCTAGAACTTGTTAAAATTTTGCTGGAAAATGGTGAAAATCCAAATGCTATCGACGATGAAATGTTCACTCCTCTTCATCGAGCTTGCACATCGAAAAGTGACGTGACTGTAACAATAATCGAACTACTATTGAAACACAACGCAAATATTGAAGCGGCTGAGAATGAATGTCGTTGGACTCCACTTTTTACAGCTTGTCGCGAAGGAAATGATGTAGCAGTTAAATGTCTTTTAGAAAATCATGCTAACCCTAATACCATGGATTTGCTGGGTTATACACCTCTTCAATCGACAGCCTTTGTTAACCGGAATGGCACATGTATAAGTTTAATACAATTATTGTTACAATATCATGCCAATATTGAAGCTAGAGGTTTGATTAGCCGAACTCCACTTTTGTTGGCTTGTTACAATTGTAATTACATAGCAGCTAAATACTTATTAGATAATCATGCTGATCCTTTTGCTGTTGATAATAATCGTTCTACATCTCTTCACTTAGTTTCCACGGCAAATACCTTCAACAGTTCAACGAAAAATATGACTGTTCCGCTTATAGAACTATTACTACAACACCATGCGAATATTGAAGCTGTGGACAATATGAATAAGACTCCACTCATGATAGCGTGCACGAGTGCCAATCACGATGCCGTAAAATGTCTCTTAGATCATCATGCCAATGTCGAAGCTGTCGATGAACTAGGAACAACTCCACTTATGTTGGCTTGTTGGGAATGCAATTATGATACAATAAAATGTCTATTAGATCATCATGCCAATATCGAAGCTGTAGATGAACAAGGAACAACTCCACTTATTGCAGCGAGTAGAAATGGGAATAATAATGCAATAAAATGTCTATTGGATCATCATGCTAATATCGAAGCTGTAGATGAACAAGGAACAACTCCACTTATTGCAGCTTGTAGAAATAGAAATAATGATGCAATAAAATGTCTAGTGGATCATCATGCAAATATCGAAGCTGTAGATCGAGAGGGTAAGACTCCACTCATGATAGCTTTCAATGACGACAATCACGTTGCAATAAAATATCTTTTGGAACATCGTGCAAATATTGAAACTGTAGATTCAACAGTTTGGACTCCATTTATGGTAGCTTGTAATAATAATCATCATAATGCGATTAAACCACTTCTAGATTTTGAAGAATATCGAAAATTCAAAATTTTGCATTACTACGTTTCTAACTGTTCAAGAACACCTTTGCACTTTGCATGCAAAAATAATGATCTAGAACTTGTTAAAATTTTGCTGGAAAACGGCGAAAATCCAAATGCTATCGACGATGAAATGTTCACTCCTCTTCATCGAGCTTGCACATCGAAAAGTGACGTGACTGTAACAATAATCGAACTACTATTGAAACACAACGCAAATATTGAAGCGGCTGAAAATGAATGTGGTTGGACTCCACTTTTTATAGCTTGCATACATAATAATGATGTAGCAGTTAAATGTCTTCTGGAAAATCTCGCTAAGCCCAATGCTAATGATCGGATGGGTTATACACCTCTTCACTGGATTTGTTTCTGTAATAGTGATGACATAGCTTTAAGTATAGCACAATTTCTGCTACAAAATCATGCAAATATTGAAGCTAGAAGTTATAACGGTCGAACTCCGTTTTTGATGGCTTGTTATAATTCTAATTACGTAACAGCTAAATTCTTCTTGGATAATCATGCTAATATTTTTGCTATTGATAATGATGGTTTTACATCTCTCCACTTTGTTTGCGATAGAAAGAATGATATGACTGTTACGCTTATAGAACTACTGATACAACATTATGCAAATATCGAAGCTGTGAACAAAAAAGGTTGGACTCCACTCATGGTAGCTTCTAATCGTGGCAATTGCGATGCAATTCGATGTCTTTTCAATCATTATGCCAACGTAAATCATTCTGATAAAAATAATTCAACTGCTCTTCACATTGCTGTTGAACGGCAATCTGTGAAAACGACTGAATGTCTTATAGAATGTAATGCTGACATTAATCTTCTCGATAAAGAAAATCAAACGCCGTTCGAGAAAGCCGTAAAGATGTGGTCTCTTGATGAGAGCTGTTCTCGGTATATAAGAGACATTTTAAAATTTGAAGTAGTTAAATTGAAAGTCGCTGGATTGAAAATACATGATCATAATTTGAATATACTACATCAGCATGAGGAGGATATTTGTTTAACCAAACCAAGTTTGACAGCTGAGATTGAACGGATGAAAAAGAAAAAAATTCTTAATAATGAAATTACGTTATATAATGTGTTGGAAAAAAATATCTCTTTTCTTTGTCAATTTGTTACTGATGAAGGAATCCAGCAACAACTAAATGAGAAATACTTGAATAAAGATTTCCAATTATATATAAACATTGTTCAAAATCGATTCCGAGAAACAATAATTCAATACACACGAAATGACTTGATAAATCAGGCCATAGAGTATTTTAGGTTTAATATTAATCAACAATTACCTAATGAAATTCTGGACTGCATATTTGCTTCTTTAAGTATTAGTGAGTTAAAATGCTTTGGCAAGTCATTTCAGGATGCTCTTGGATGACGAGCAGTCTCATCTATAAAATATTACGTAAGATTAAGTAGCTCCAATTGTAAATATAAGAAACACTTCTTTAATAACATTGTGATATTTATAAATACTTTTAATAAATAATTTTTTACAATCGATCAACCAGCCTTTTCTACTTTTTCCTCACGACCACAGATTGTAATGGTTAATTTTATCTGAAAATTTGTTTAACTTAAATTTTTATATATATTGCATTTGAATCATTCAAGGCATATAATAATTAATACATAAACTAAAAAAAAATTTGAATCGAAATACGATAACTTTAGATAATTGGACTGTAAACATAGAAAACAATCAAAATGTCTATAAATAAGTTTTTACACTTATAAAATATTAATAGAAATATAAATAAATAATGGTTTTGATTTCTGAAAGGATACTCTTTTATAATAGTCAGGCACAATATGCTTTAAATTGTTGGGAACGTCAAATTTTACTTCAAAATGATCCTTTATTACCTTTTGTACTTTGTGATCCAGTAAATATGGATGATGCTCTAAATAGTAAGTAATTTCATTTTGAAAATCTAATTTTCAATTCTTAAAAACAAAATATTCTTTTGTCATAACCCTCCCGAAACTTATAGTTTCGTCCCGGTTCTGAGTTCCGAAAGCGACCGATTTCCTCCCCAGCGAAAGTCAGAAAAATCGTCTGCGTGCAAGCTTACTTACTTACAATTAAACGTGGTGAAACTCACTATAAATCTCCAAATTGATTTAAATTTTAACGCATATATATTTATTAACTATTTCTGGGGTAGTAATTTTATAACTTTCGTTAGCATTAGATACATATATTAACATATGAACGTAAGGAAATCGATGTTTTTTTTTAATCAAATAACATACACATATGCTAATTTTTCTAATACAAAAATATGACTCTAATTACAATTATTTTATTTTAATAAAATTTCTGAAAATAGTGCCACTCAATTTGAATACTGTGATTATTATTAAAATGGACTATTATATAAACGTACGATATTTTGCAATTTAATCGTATTCGTATATTTATTATTAAAAAACAGCTTTAAATTAATGATATATTGTAGTTTTCTATGGATCTAGGCAAGATCTAGAAAGTCGCGTGTAAAGGGTATATTTCCGCTACTTTCTAGATTTTGCTTATAGTGACTAGTAGTAGCTAGTTCATAGTCTTTAGCACTTATTTTTACTTTTGATAAATGTTATTTTCAAATCGTTACATTAGCTGCTATTCTAGCAGTTGAATAGTCAGTTAATCAATAGGGCAGTTAGTCGGTAAAATATATATCAATGAAGAATGTTAATAATTTTGAAACAGCTTAAGCCATTGTTCGAGATTCTAGTAATTAAAATTGTGTACATCGACTTTTATAGGAATCACCATCAAAGTTACTCTAAAGTCACGTTTCCTTCAAAATTACTTAGACCCTAACGAAACATGTGTTTTTTCGAGGACAAGCCACTCATAATATTATTCTAAGTATACTCAGTTAGAATAAGTTCCTGTCAATAATGATTCCCAGCTAGTCGAACAGAGAGAAGAACACTCCAGGTGTTCGTCAGGCAGACTTCGCGCAAGCATACAATACAAAATTAAACCACTGCGCAGACTCAGAACAAAACATTGTGTAGTGGGGAACGAACATTTAAAACATTATTGTATAAGTTCAGCTCTACTCTATAGGTCGGTAGTTTTCAGTACAACGTAGCGTAACATTGTAGCCGATACTATAAGAATAATATAGAATCCTGAAAGAGTAAGACAGACTGCCCTAACATTTATTTATAACAGAATAACTACTCGCTCTGTAGTTTAACTTCTTTAAGGATGTACGAGCGTTTACAGTTTTTACAGATTTTGGTCGGCCATATGTAAACGAGTAAGAGTTAGAAATATAAAAAACAATCTGTCAAATCGCTGTAGATTTTTAATTTCGGATATTTTGCTTATTCTTCAATCAATCGTCCTCATCTCGTTTCATTCCATAAATTGTTGTTGCGCGAATCTTTTCCTATAGATATTTTCTTATTATATCTATTTATTTGCCTAAAACTAGTGCGCAAGCTCCATATACTTTTATATATCTATATTTTTCCGCTCGAGGCGCCTTAAACTAGTCTAATTTTACTGCTACTCTCTTAAACTTAATCAGTGAAAACTGAAAAATATTCACTGATACACAGTAGTTTAAGTTCTTTAAGAAATTATCTAATACGAGATTTTTTTTTTATTTATTAAATTCTATCAGCATAAAAATAACTCATTTTAGTAAATTTTTCTGAAGTACCTTATTGTATACTATTTTACTCCAAAAGTTACCGAAATAGCGCAGTTCATACAAAGAGAAAAATTGATAAAATAATCCCAAATACTAAAACTGATGATATTACCATTAAAACGGATGATCATGTAAATCTTCACAAATGATACTGTTATTGAGTTATTATCATAAACTACAATTAATAAGTCATTTTTTTCTACCAACTTGATTTTTCAATTATTTCATTAATAGCCAATAAACATTTAAATTAACAATGGAAAGGAAAGAATTTCTCGATTCAATTGAAATTTGGATTTCATTTTGTTGTTAAATTTAAGAGAACTTAAATATATTAGAGAGATTATTAATATATTTTTAGTATAATATTAAACGATAATATGACAAATAATACTAATATTATTATTATTTACGTTATAATAATGATCATTGTATGATTAGTAGTAATCAATGTTAAAAATATATTATTATTATTTAAAAATTTTCTAAATCGTGATTTATTTTCGAAAAATAAGTGTTAATTTCGTAAAATTACATTCGAAAACGGAATAAAACGACATTCATTGAATTATATAACGTTGAATTATTATTGAAATCCATCGATGAACCCACTCTTCCTCTGAACTGTTTTTGTTTTCGTTTTTACTTTAACAGCTGGTAGATATAAATCTTCAGGATTAAAATCATTTTGTGTTACTTCCTGAATTGACTCGGCTTTATTTTCATTCGGAATTTCAATAGGAACATTTCGTTCAAAATGTTGTTGAGAAACACTCACTAACTCTTGAGACTCTATAGGTGTAAATGGAAAAGAGTCTTCATCGTCATCATCAAATATTGGTTGAGATTCTGGTATTTCTTCTTCATCAGCCATTTCTAGCCAATTTAAAACTTTTTCATGTTGATTTGAAGATGTTCCATCTTCAAGTTCATCTTTCATTTCCCATACTGCTAATAATTCTGGCGCTAATAAATCAACATAAGATTTTAATTTTTCCAGCGGTTGCCTCCAATACTCGGGAACATAACTTTCTTCTTTAGGCTTTATTGAGTATTTAAGTTCTGCGTTTGAAAAAGCTATGAAAATGGATGATTAGCCCAACATTAATAAAAATATTTTTTTTTCAAGAATTATAAATTATATTTTTAAATAAAATTGCTTACTATTTAGAGCATCTTCCATATTTACTCGATCACAAAGTACAAAAGGTAATAAAGGATCATCTTGAAGTAAAATTTGACGTTCCCAACAATTTAAAGCATATTGTGCCTGACTATTATAAAAAGGCATCCTTTCAGAATTTTTATCATGAGTAATACATTGATAAAATATATCCCCTGTTAATAAAACAAAATATATTATTAAAACCTGCTCAATAAAAATGGACATAATTAATTAATTAGTTACCGATTGAATTTTGAGAGAAAATGAACGCATTGTTATCTTCCGTCACTTTTAGGTGAACACCAGCTGTACTAAGTTGAAATCGAGGGGTTAAAAGAGGGTCTAAGCACTTGCCTAAACTCTGACATTTTTTCAAAGTATCTGAAATACTTGGTGGCACTTTAGGTAGATAATAAGAATGAGGATAATCATTCCAACTATTTATGATAACTGACTTATCTGTACAAACTTGGCCAGACATCAAAACTATTTCCTGATCTCCACTATTAAAATTATTTTAAATAAATATTAATAATATTTTTCATACAACAATTATGTAGTAAATTTTACTAATAATTAAGATAATTACTAATCAGCGACAGATCCTTGAAGGGGAGTACTTTTTAATTGATGAGTCCATTTTTGATGAACACACTCAGTAGGTGTCCGGTCATCACATAGCAAAATACTATGAGATGTTCCAAGATAAAGCCGAGATTCTCGAGTACTAAATAGCTGTAGAGAAATACGTTCACAATGTTCTAGGTATGATTTTGGGCACATTGATAGTACTGGTCCATCCATTTCTGCCTATAAAAAATTCACATCATTTTTCAACTGATAAAAGTTGTAGAATAAATTTACAAAAATTTAATCTTACTCTAGTATCAAAGTAATATAAACAACATCTGTTAGTGTAAATAAGTAAGTCTGGATTCAATAAATTATACTTTACACTTCCCCAATTATCATCTAATTTTTGATTCAATTTTATATCTCCTTTACTTATAACTTTCCTGTTGAAAAACGTTGAAATAATAAAAGTGTAAAGAAATAAAAACAAATTATAAAAATTTAAAATACCCTGTTGTTATATCGCATACTTCCATTGTTTGATTAGCATCTAAAGTACAATATTGATTAGAATCATTTGGAGGTAAATCAGCACTGATGAACGGAATGGTTGACGATTTAGTATCGAATGGTATTAATTGTAATTTTCCATTATTTTCGGAAAGACTAAGCAATGTACATTCATTTTTTAATCTGGCTAAAATTTGACCTGAAATTTCAATCAAAGCATATTTTATTATTACGATATTTTTTGGTATAAATCTGTAAAAGAAAATAAATTATTAAATTTTTAGTCAGAGTATAAACTATTTACGTACAGGTAGATGATGTTTTGTATCTAAGCTCATAAACTGTATTGTCCAAAGACAATTTTGAAGCATTTTTATAATCAGGTTTCCATATAAAATTATTTCCATAACTTAGAGGCATTGTCACTGAAAGTTAAATGAAATTTAATAATGACTTCTAATTCAAATAATTTTCATTCAACACTTTTAATGCATATACCAAGTTCATTCATATATGGAAAAATCAAAATAAATTGGTTGTTCAATGTAAGTCCAGTTAATGATCCGCCCGTGTAATACCAATTATATTCCTGTAATATATAGAAAGATTTTGATTGTTTTTATTCTTTATTCATTAGTAAAATCATTAAAATACCCCTTGGAAGAGTGGATCAGGATCCATTTGTATAATATCTGATAAATCAGCAAGATATCGAGGTAAGATAGTTTCTTTTTTGTCGCCTTCAGTAGTCCACTGTAGATCTTTCTTCATCATAAACTGATGATCTGAAAAAGATGGAAGAATTAATGAATGAAAATAAATATTTTTAGATTTGCTTACCAGTTTGATGTTTCTGATAATTGTCCAATATTCTATCAATATCATCCTGGATAATACTTTTAGTGAAAAGAATATCTGTCACAGGATCACTCATCGTTAAAACTGAACAAAAATTTTTTCCATCACGATAATGATTTTTGTAAAATCTTAATAAATATAATAATTGAATTTTAATACAAATAAAAACGATAAATAACATTTTTACGTACGACATTTAGTGTTCTTAGAAGGTGGTAATAAAGGTTTTGGCAAATCAGAACTGTAAGGATAGCTTTTATACATATCCATTACATTTCCTAAATCCCATTTTTCCACCCTAGGTGTTTTATTAAAATTTATTCCAGGAATACAATAATGAGGATAATAGAACAAAGTATTTTCAGCTGATCTTTCTTGTAAATTAAGTTCTTTTTTTTTGTTTGGAAATCCTGATCTTCTAGGTTTGGCTGCTCGACGTGGAGGCATGTTGATATTACTTACATACAGTCAACAAATCAAACTTATACCAATCAAAACCGAATATTTAACACTTTTTATAATTGCATAGTATTTTTTTTATTAATCAAATACACTCTTTTAAATCCTCACAACATGAACATAAACAAAAACCTTAAGTTACACATTTGGAAACCATGTGCATTTAAGTCATCTTTTCATGTGAACGACTGTCGCAATCCGCCATTTTTTAGCGCAAAGTAAGTTTCCTTCGAAATTTAATTACAAGAAAATTGTTAATTACAAAGTATTGTAGACTTAAATTACAATGTTGTTGTTGTTAATCTTACTTTATAATATTTTAACAAGAAATTTTAGTAGATAATATATTTTTCAACAGACTATCCTAACATTTAAACAATTGTCTTAATACGAATGTATTAATTTGATTCATATTTTTGGTTTACTAATTCATCGTAATCATTAATCCATTTTTTAATTAAATTTCGATGGATATCACGAGCTCTGATAACTCCATGAGGATCTGCAGAATTAGCACCTCTCAAGTCAAGACCATGAGCAGCGTTAGGAATAACCACTGCTATAGCTGAACGTGTTAAATCTTTTAGAACTCCACCAGCAGACCATGGATCCATTAATCCATTACTAAATACTATATTTGTTGCTGTTTCAAAATCCGTACATCCATATTGTTTACAAATAATTTGATCATTAGGTACAACTTTATAATTTTTTTTACAATATTCAGCAATCTCTTTTAAATTCCAAGATTGTGGTTCAAACATATCATTAATGCCATCACTACATATAGGCATTACCAATTCAGTACAAGTTTGATAATCCCATCCAATTGTTCCTAATTCAGGAATTCCACTTTCTATATCTATGCAAGGATTTTGACCAGTGAAATTAGCATAAACGTCGATTCCTTTCTTCAAGATCATTAAAAGTTTTTCATGAGGTAAGTCATTCTTAGTAAAGTGTTTACAAAAGTGCTGAAAATAATTATTGATTTAGTTTAATATCAATCATCATATTAATGCTATAATTATTATTTTATCCAGAAAATATTTTAACCTTGATCGAAAAAGCTGGAAGTGGTGCAGGAAAATCAATTGGATAAGGATAATTAGCCATAGCTAAAGTAATATAAATATTACTTAGCCAATCTTTGAGTTTTTGTACATCAGATTTACTTCTAAGTGGTTTACATAGATTCCACATTATAAATAACCATCGCTTGCCACTTGCTACAAGTAAAAATATATACAAAATAATTGAAAATAACAAGTAACTACTCACTAAAAAATTCTTTAAGTTTGTCCATTTTTTAATTAATATATTTGTATTATTTATAGTACCTGTAGATGTTAGATTCGTTATGGCATCCCAAGATTGACGAATGGCTTTTGAACAAATAGGATTAGTATTTCGAAAGTCTGATGTTACAATGCGCGTAAACAAGTGGCAGTCTGTGATATTAGAAAATTGCAAAATTGGAGCTGATGCTGCAATAGCTCTATAAAAATAAAAGCACTTTGATGAAATTAATAACAATTGAAAATAGTGTATTTCTACAAACCCTTGTACTATATGAGGATATTTAAGACGCATCCAAGCAGCTAATTGACCAGCATAAGAACCACCAAAAACAATCACTGGACTATGTTTCAATTTGTTATCAGTTCGAAGGAATTCTATGAGATTTACATAATCCAACAGAGCTTGTTGTGTATTCAAATACTCAAGATTTTTAACACTAGAAAATGTTTTATTTCCAAAAGGTAAAGATTCTCCATAATAACGATGTTCAGCAAAAATGATCAAGGCACCAAATATTGGTGCAATATCCCACAAAAATCCCTAAATTTAAAACTTATGTTAATCAAGCATTAATCTGAGATAAAGTAAGCAGTTAGATACATACTGAAATTTTTGCAAAGATTTCAATTTTTCCTTCATTGCCAAGATGAAAAAAAATTGGTGCATTTATTTCTTTTTGCCATGTATTATTAACAAGATAACGTATTTCAAATTTACGATCATCTACAAAGCTAAAATGATTTATCTAAAAAAAAAAGATCCAACCAATCTTTTAATATCACATTGTAATAATGAGTATATGTATGAAATTGAATATAAATAATTTCATCTTGCTTAATTCTTTTAATACTAATTATAAAGCAAGGTGAGAAACATGATCTCCTAGAGAAAGTATTTAACTTAAATTTACTCACAGGTACTTTAAATTTTCGAATGACATAATTGTATTTCAATCCATCGATAACAATTTCTTCATCAGTGTTATTTTCTAATTCAATTGAACATGCTTCAATAGCACATTGAAAAATGATTAATAAATTAAATATCAAAAACTTTAAAATATTCATGCTTCGTAGACACACGTTTACTAAAGTGTTCACATTAAAAATTACTGATAAAAATTATTATTATTATTATTTTTCGTCTATTTTCTCTTTATTTCTTTTTATCTATTATTGTTATTTGCAATACGATCAGACACAAATTGATTTTAAAAATGAAGATTCAAAGATCTATTTTTTTTGCCCTTGAGGAAATTTTTTAAATTTAAATGACTACCTCTCCTGACATCTACAGGATCCAAGCTGAATCGTAGCTACCTGAAGTAGTTTTTAATGAGCTTCATGTTTCAGTAGCCGAATGAAAATGAGATCAATAGTCCCAAGAATCCCCTAGGCTTCGTGTTTTTTTAGTCTCCCCGACAAATTATAAGAAGAATGCCGTAAATCGAAACAGGAAAGCATAGAGGGTGAGGGTCATAAAAGTTAGGCGTGTCGGCGTCTATTTTGCGAATTGTTTGTGGATTGTTTAATGTTTTTAGAGTAATTTTCGAATCATCATCAAGTACTTCAGTATAAGATATATTTCTCAGGAATGTGAAAAATGTTCAAAGTAACGGAGAAGTTGATAAGAATGTATCAGGACGCTTGATCTGATACAGTTGACTAAATTGTACATAATAGAAATCAATTATGAAACTTGTATGAGAACGATCTCGTTAACTTGACTGTGTACTTAGACAGAGGGTGATAGAAAGGTTTAGGGAATGAATATATGGGGTGATATAAAGGCGAAGGCCTATCCCTATGCTGTGGTATGGAGACAGAGAGTATAAAGTCGGGGGCTAGTGAGCATAGCCATAGCCACCACAGCCGGAGTTCTTCTAAACATCATCGTTCACACACCAACAAATCTCAACATCATCGACAACATTCCCACCGAAGCTCCAGGTGATTATTATTCACATATTCACGTCAATAAACTCATAATTATTTGCAATAAATTTGTACAAAAAACTTTTGCAACCTGAACATTATCATTTTATCATTTCAAAATAACTTTATGACATATAAAAGATTATTCTTTAATAGTTTTTCAATTAATAGACAAGCAAAACATTAACTTTTCAATTAACTAATATCGAAACCGGTCTTTATCAATTTTAAAGATATATAATTTTCTTTTAATTTAAATTTTATATTAAAAATCACTGGTATTACTAATTGGATTTCTAAATTCAAAATTCATTACTTTCTTTATTAAAATTCTTGTTATTGATTATTTATTTTAGAAGATATTATTCTGATATTTAAAATAGCAATTGACTTTTAAACTTTTTAAAAATTCTATCAATATGAACTCACAATTTAATAAAATAAAAGCTGAAACTTTTAAATTTAGTGTATAATAATATATTCATGATTTCTTACAGAAATAATAGAAGTCAAAGAAAAGACCGACCTAATCTGGATATAACAGAGATGGCTCCATTTCAAACAACAGTGAACGTACGAGGCAACAGTGTGGATAACGTTGGCCCGGAAGTGATACAAGTAGAAATTTTACCTCAGGATGAAAACTGGGGTGAAAATACAACAGCTGTTACGGGAAATACATCAGATAGATCAGAATCAACAGAGGATGTTAGTCACTGGCCTAGTGAAACAGACGGAGCTTTTAATTTCACATGCAATCGATATCTTGGACCAATTATAGCAATGGCTCTGGGAATAGGTGCCTTTTTAAGTCCTATAGCGATGGTAGTTCTACCCAAATTAGGATTTTTTCCCGATTCTTCAACGGTACTAACAATGCAACAGAGATTACAGTTATTATCATGCAATGCAGAATGTAAAGGACAATTGTTAGGACTAGCATTCAAACTGGTATTATTGGCGATTGGAAGTTGGGCTGTTTTTTTACGCCCACGAGGTGCTACATTACCTCGAATATTTTTCTTTAGAGCTGGAGTACTTGTTTTAACATTACTTTGCATCTGTACTTATTGGCTATTTTATGTTGTACAGGTAAGATGCTTTTTCTGTTTAAATAATTTTCTTTCTTTTCATAATACTTAACTAATTTTTGAAATTGTTGATAGGTCACTGAAAGTGCAAAAACAGCAGCAAATGGAGAAATAACAGAGTACAAAAGTCTTGTAAATTATGCTGGCACGTTCGCAGACACGCTTCTTTTTATCCACTACGTAGCAATCCTACTCATTGAAATTCGTCATCTACAGCCAATGTTTTACATAAAAGTTGTACGATCACCTGATGGCGAGTCTCGTTCATATGCTATTGGTCATTTGTCTATACAAAGAGCTGCTGTGTGGGTTTTAGAAAAATATTATACAGAATTTCCTATTTATAATCCATATTTAGACCGGTTACCGGTTTCAAAATCAGGTCGAAAACAATCAAGTTTTAAATTTTATGATGTGGATGGTGGAGTAAATACAAGTATCACTCAACAACAGAGATCTGGAGGTGATCGAGCTATGCTAGCTGCTCAAGCTCGTCGAAGAGATTCAAGTCACAATGAAAGATTTTATGAAGAACACGAGTATGAAAGACGAGTAAGAAAACGAAGAGCTCGATTAATTACAGCAGCAGAAGAAGCATTTGCTCACATCAAAAGACTTCATTCTGAAGCAGAATTGGCACCAAATCCTGGTCCCATGGACCCAATGGAAGCAGCTCAAGCAGTCTTTCCATCAATGGCACGGGCCTTACAAAAATATTTACGAGTAACCAGGCAGCAACCTCGACATTCAGTGGAATCGATTTTAGGTCGTTTGGCACGATGTTTAGCTCAAGATGCAGCACCTAAAGCCTTCTTGGAACCATTTTTTACTGCTACTCCAGTACTTTCTAACGAAAAAGAGAGGCAAAGAAATTCGCATAATTGGGCTCTCGTTTGTGAAGGTGAATTACCGTCAAGGCCTTTATCATCAGGATGTGAGTTTCAACTTCGTCAAGGAGAAGTAGCTTTATTGTGCACGGTTTACAGGCTACCACACTTTAGTCTTACTGAACAATTAGCACATCCTAAATCGAATAAGTTTCTTTTGAGACTCAACTCTGAAACGTCTGTTTAACAGCTGTTTAATAGATATTATCTTGATCAAGTGTTGAGTCAGATAGAAAAAAAACTTAGAAACAAAAGTCATAACGAAGAACCCCTGCTGTTAACAGGTTTAGAATAGTATTACTATGCATTCAACTGCGAAAGATATCCATAAAATAGGATATACTGTCCATTAAATTTTTTTTTAATGTATAATTTTAGAGATTTAACAATCAACATTCGAAAATTTTATGAGATTATGTATTTTATAAATTGATAAAGAATTTATAAGATAATTAATGTCAATTTTATGAGTTGCTATGAATTGATAAAATATAAATTTTATGTATGTATTTTTATACATAAGAAAAATAATGGACAGTTTACTTTTTCAGGTGAAAAAAAAAAGATTTTAATAATAGATTTGAAAAATTATTAATTCAAGTACTTAAGTGTGCGAGGTCAAATAATTGATAATATGATGTAGTTTATACATCATATCTAAATACCGTACTCTGCCTTTTCTATACGTACAATCAGATTACGTAGCTATAATTCTGCATTTGAGAAAATCAAGGCATAAAAAAGATATTTTTTAAACAACCATTTAGTCATAGCTTTCAAATAATTTAATTGACGCTTCAATCAATTTGTAGGCCAGGCACAAAGATAATAATAAAAAATACGATAGACTGTTTCTATTGACATTACTATAAACAATATATGAAGCATTTTTCACAATAATTGAATGGTAATTTTTAATGATTTTTCATTAAAAATATTATCTTGATGCATTTGCAAGCACAAAAGAGCGCTTATATTTGTAACTTGCCAAAGTGTGATTTTTGGAAATATGAATGAATTATGAGATTCAGTTGTATCAAATATTTGTCATATATATTTAATTGATCTATATCAAGTTTAGTAATATTCTAATTTATAAGAATCATTGATAAACTTTAGATAACTTTATGTTTATAACTACATATCATCTACAGTTGATTGTCTTTATTATTTTTGAATTAAGCCAATTTCTAGATGAAACATAATAATAAGATAGATCGTTGAATAACTTGAATAATGAATTGACCTTATAAAGGAAATATCTTGAAAATAGTAGTTAATTTTTTTTATTACTTTTTTAAAATAATAAAAAAAAGTGAAGTGATTCTCTTTAAATATTGATACTCATTAAATTTTTACATTAATTTATTATTGACTAAGAATTTTGTACTACTTTTTATATCATTTATCAGATTAATTAGTAATATGAATAAGTATGTAATTTTTTATGCCAATTTATACTCTATGTTGATTATTTATGTGTGAAAGTAACGTGACAATGTAACTCTATGATGGCTCATCGATGTCAGCTTTAATTTTAACGAAAATGATGACAGATAATATCACTAATTCATGACACAGTAATTTATTTAAATGCAACAAAGATGAAATGTTAAGAATAGGTGCAAATTATTGATAGAATTGATGAGATTAAAATTAAATCTCATATTGCAATACAATAATATAATAGGCGTGCTAAACTGTTTGTACAGTCACATTTCTAAAAATTATAAATGGATGAAAGATAATTTAATTGTGGAATAAAAGTCGAATTTTATATGTAAATAATTCGTATTTATTGAATATCCTTAGAAAATTAAATCTATTTAGTAAAAAATATTTGTAAAATTTTATTATGTATATAAAATTCCCGCTAGGACAAAGTATCGTATTGCCATCTGGCATTACTGGACGAAATTGTCACATGAAAATAGGGAGCGTGACATCCGTCCCCAATAAGATGTCAGTCAAAGGCATTTTTACAATATTGAAAATATCCTTAAAAAAATACAAACTTCAACATAACCTCAATATCCTGTTAAATTTCTGTTGGTTTAACATTTTGTTTAATCATCTTTTTAGTCATTATTATCACTAAAAACAATAATTGTTCACATAAAGGTAAGATAATTTTAATTTATAAATCTAAATAAAGTAATTATAGATTATTTAAAATCAATTTCATCATGAAAAATTATCTATAAGCCGTGATGTAAATAAAAACTCATAAAGAAGTAAACAAGGATTGCAAATAAATAATAAATATAGTTTACTGTAAGTATTAGAGATAATATTTTTATTAAAAATTATATAGCGTAAACAATGGAGGGAGAGCAAACAAAAACTGGAAATGTACCAAAAATAGTGGAGCCTCCAATAACTGTACCGAATCCAAGAAATATTCAGGCTTCAGTCGCTCAAGTGACAGTTACTTCTGTACCTGGACAATCAAAATATGTACAACTACTCAATGTTCTTGAAGAACTTGGAAGAGATATTCGCCCTACATATGCTGGAAGTAGGAGTTCAGCAGAACGCATCAAACGTGGGATCGTTCATGCAAGAATTCTAGTCAGAGAATGTCTCGTAGAGACTGAAAGAAGTGCTCGTCAATAATTACCATTTGAAGACTTAAGTTATAATCGATTGATTGATTCTAAAAAAGATGTCAAATTAACATTTAACTGATTAGTCAACGATGATCATGAATCATATGAACTCGATAAAAATTTTAAAGATTGATTTCCTCAGAGTCAATCGATTTATTATTTTACAGTTTTAAATAAAAAAACTATTCCAGGTGCCAAAGTTGAATGAATGATGAAAAAAGTTATATGTATTGTTTAATTTTTTTTTTTGGAAATGGAATTAGTTTTGTATGCATAATAGTTTGATTGAGATTAGTGGTATTGAATAATATTTTTACTGGAGATCTGAATATTCTAGTGATTTTTAAGTAATTGAATTTTTGAATGATTTCTTTTTTGTGTGTTTGCTTTATTTAAAGTACATTTGATCTCATTTTTAACGAACTTTGTGTACGAAAAGAGATCGAGTTTCGCCAAATAACGACTTAATATTTTTATATATGTCATTAATGATAAGACATAATTGAAAATAAGTTAGACTAAGATTTTTAATCAGCGATAATTTATTTTAATTTATACTAAATAAGAAAATGCCTTAAACATTTTACTAATTATTATTATCAGCATAAATAGTACAAATAATGTTTATAATTACCGATAACTTTTTATCTTCGTCTACAGAAACTAACATTAGAGAATAATGAGAATAGAAAATCATGGCGATGTTCATAATCTATTTTACTATCAATATTACGATAATATTTTCTAACAATAATTCATCATTTTATCATTGCCAAAAATAATAATTAAAAATATTTTTATGTAATAATTACCTCGTTAACACGAAAAAAAAATATACTCTATTGTTCCTACGTGTTTAAGCACATTAAGCTCAGGATTACTTTGTAGCCCTCATAGCAGTATTGTGAATAATATCTTATGAGATTAATTGATCGAATGGTTTTATATTATAATAATTGAATAATTGATGAATGAATTGAAGAATTAAAATGTAATTATGAAATTAGAAGTAAATTGTGAAATATCAAAGAACTACCATGACCAAATAGTAATAATATCGATGAATCGAAACACAGTTATGTGTTTGTTATGACCAAAAATAATAATATCTGTATCATTTCAATTGCCTGTTCCAATGTGCCGTTAAAATATACTATTGCTCATAATTTAAATAATGATAAAGTTAAATATATTCAATGTACCAAAATCACTTAATAAAAAATATTTATAAACAAATTACGTGAGTCTTTAATAAACTTGTGAGAATTTTTTATCCCTTTTTTTTTGTTTCAGACTAAAATTAAATATGTTCATCACTTTGGAGACATTTGATACTCAATTTTCAGCAGATTCTGTTGAATGGTGTCCGATTGAAGGTTTTCAAGATATTTTTATCTGTGGCACGTATCAATTATCACCTGAAAATGAAAAATCGGAAACCGTTATTGACACAAAGCCTCAGATTCGTCTTGGAAAAATATTTTTATTCCAAGTTATAAAAGTAGGAAAATTAAAATTGTTACAAGAACTTGAAGTTTCAGGAGTATTAGATATTAAATGGGCACACGTAAGATGCCAAGAAAACATTTTATTCGGCATCGTAAATTCCGTAGGATTCTTACAAATCTACAAACTACATACTGATGATGATTTAAAAGTTGAATTATTAACAGAAAGAAAAGTTAGAGAAGTTGAGGGTGAAATCTTGGCATTATCTTTGGACTGGGATACTGGAAAAAGTCCAAGAGAAGGAGTAAAGGAGGAGAAAATTTCTGTTAGTGATTCTAAAGGATTTGTGTCTATTTTTCATTTAATTCAAGGTCAATTAAATTTCATAGGATCTCAAAAAGCTCATGAGTTTGAAGCTTGGATTACTGCTTTCGACTCTTGGGACTCAAATATCATTTATTCAGGTAAAAATAAATTGACGTAATTTTATTTTACTTTTTTATTTATTGATTTTTTTTTCTCAATAAGGTGGAGATGATTGTAAATTCAAAAGATTTGATATTAGAGAAGAAATGACGTTAATGAAATGTAATCAAGTTCATGAAGCTGGAGTGACAAGTTTACATTCTAACTCTTCTCAAGAATTTTGTCTAGCATCAGGAAGGTATGTAGCTATCAAATTGTTATCTTTAGATAATTAATTAGATAGTATTAGATGATTAATTTTTTATTAAAACATTTATAGTTATGATGAAAAATTAAGACTTTGGGATACAAGAAACTTCCGTCGACCAGTTTCAGAAATAACTTTAGGAGGTGGTGTATGGCGTTTAAAGTGGGATCCATTCTATAATCCTCATCGATATTTATTAGCAGCTTGTATGTACGGAGGATTTCGACTTATTGATTGTCAAAATCAAGAAAATCCTAAAATAATTGAAGAGTATAATGAACATAAAAGTATTGCATATGGATGTGATTGGTGTTACTTTCCTAGTGATCAAATAATCAAGAAACTACAATTTGAAGAATATCAAAAACCAGTTCTTGTTACCACTTGTTCATTTTACGATCACACACTTAAATTATCTGTTATTAATTTTGAAGAATAATATTAAATTATATTAATTACGTTTAATATAAGAATAATTAATATCAAAATATTTGATAACTCATATAAATCGTAAGAATGAATTTTTTATCTTATAAATTTATTTCCTAAATTTGATCTGTCTTTACCGCGTAATTTCAAATCTTAATTGATAGCAAAGCTTGTTTACTTTCACTTCAGATAGCGCATTAATCCACGGTATAAAATGGCGGTAGCTGCGACGTCGTGGTGCTGTCGCGGAGAGTTCGATAAAAATCAGTCGTTGTTGAGGAGCTGTTTTGGCGTGGTCTGAACTGAGTGCTCGTGAGTAGTGTTCGATAGTGAGTGCTGTGACTGTCAGTGATACATTAGGGTAAGTAGCATGGTTATTATGGTTAATATGACAGATAAAATGCGACATTAACCTCACGTTATCAAGTATGAAGGACAATAACCTCATGTAGAATAAATTAAATGTAATCTATCATAATTGCCGTAAAAATCAGCTGTATCTAGCAGTCGTCTTGACACTGGAATGACCCAGAAAACAATTGAATAAGGTTTGTCAGTGGGGACAAGCGGTTTGCCCTTACTGATGCACCTGCCAAGTTTCGCTAGTTGAGAAAAACGGTCGATTGCTCTGCTAAGGCCAAGGTTATTGCCAAGATCTTGATAATGTGATCGAATTAAACAAATTGATCGTATCGCGGCTCCAAAAACGCCACTCGTTCCCTCATTTCAATTGATATAATAAATAATGTTGAAGAGCAAGTGAAAGTCAAATTAAAAATTGTAACTCCAAAGTTACAAAATAGTAAATGGATTAATTCTCATGAAAAAATATGTGAATACTAAAATATTGTCTACTTGGAGTTAAAAACGTTCATCAATAGATATTATTAATAAGCTGTCTTTCATCTTCCCCTTAATAACATTAATTATTTAATAATTATGTTGAAGAGAAAATTGATAAACTATAATATAATTAATAATCACAACACCAACAAAAACTTTTTTCTAATCTTTCGTCTAGAATTAATTATAGAGAAGAAAGAATTTATTCATAATGTTATTATTTTGATTAGAAAGTAGAGAGAAATAGAATAAAAATAGAATTTTCATTGTACCTTGATCATTTTCAAGAATTCCATAACAGGTTAAATAAAAATTTCTAGTAATTTAAAAAAGCATCTTTTATAATTCATCAAGATCTAGTGGTCTTAATTGACTTTTCCTGATCTAGACGCTTCATATCCTTCAGCATTCTAGTTATTCGAAGCTCATTAACTGCTACAGGGATTAATATTGAAGGGCGTCGAACTTGCCATTGAGCTGATTTATTTATCAGTTTCTCTACAATATAATGACGAAATCCTCCAATTTTTTTTACCGCATTTTCTATTTTAGTTTAGTTTCAAAAAACTATTGAATTTGAGTTGAACGACGTCATCTCTCATCAGTAGCATTCCAATCGAGTTATATATCTCTATATATACACCCATGCATGTATACCTATGAGTTTGTTCTCTGCTTTTTCAATGAATTAGATCTCTAATCTTAAACTCAACCAATGAGACTTTATTTATCTCAAATAAAGCCATAAATTTGTATTATTTCATTAAAGAGTTTTTATAAATGTTTTCATATGTTCATTCAAAAATTCAATTACTCAAACATTCACAGAAATATTTGATAAAATTTTTGAACTCATTTTCCAATGCTATTAATCCTTTTTAACGCCATTCCACAAATTCTTCCTACTGATGTAGACAGTAAGATCTCGTGAACTGCTTAAATAGTTAGGAACCACAGGAATTCCTGATCCAGGAAGATTTGTTGAGTTTATAAGGCGTCTTATTTTATGTCTCTTGATCTTCGGTGTCTTCACTTTTTTTAAAAACATCTTATATTACCTCCTCTACACCTCAAAATGCCTTTGGGTTGTTTAACTTATTTAAAGGTATCATACAGTATCTGTAGACATCTTTAATTACATATGCATCAATTTTTTTTGTAATTAATTTATAATAATATATTGATTTATCTTGATATTTTTTCAATTTGCTTTATAAAATAGTATTTTATAAAACTTTGAATTAACCAATGTGAAAATAAAGAGAAAAAATGTTTAAATAATGCAGAAAGATATAAACGAGAGACTCAACGTTAAAACACACACAAGTTGATTTCTACAAATCCACTCAAGGTATTCTCTCTACCAAGCGAAACAAATAAAAGAAAATGTATAAGATGAACAAAGTAAAAAAACGGCAACAATTTATAGTTGCCACACTTCTCGTCACATTTTTTGCGGCCACCTGCTTCATACTTTGTCTTATTATTTTCTTATATCTCACTTATAACTTCACTCGGTACTTTTATCCCTTGAATTGATTATCCTGTGAGTTTTAATCAGTCTTGAAGTTAACAACACCTGATAGTTGGTTATGTTTAAATGAGACTTCTCTATTTACACTTTTAAAATTGCATTCGCCAATTACTTGCATTTTCCAACCGTGAATAAAATTTCTGTTGTTCTTACAAATAAAATTTGATGGGAAATTTTTCAGTTATTATTTATATTAATGATGATGAGTATAAAATCATGGAATTATACATGAAATAAATACTAACTTAAGCTATCGGCAATTTTACATTACAAAATTGAAGAAATCTATTGCATAATTCATTTGTTCGACTCTAACGTGAGACGAAGGTCATTTTATTGAATGAATTAATCATAAGAATTATGAAGGAAATGATGAATGAACGAGATTCTTCATAATTTCGGTATTACTACTTGTTCTTGTAATCACTATCAAGTAATACAATGCTAAAAATAAACTTGTAGCTTTAGCTTTTAATAAAATAGAACACTATACTAGACGACTAAACCAAATCAGTTTAGTCATCAGGTCAATCGATCTCTTAACAGAGTTTGTGCCAGTTTTGTGATATGATTGTAGATATCAGTTTAGATTTCAATGTAACATTTAATGACATATTGAATGACATTTAATGATACACAATATTCACTTGGTGCTCATATATTTGCTAGCAAAAAAAAAAAAAAAAATAGAATAACTCACTTTATGCTCCAAAAATTTTTTTTTTTTTTTAATAAATCCTAAACATATATTTGTTTAGTAGTCTTCTATAGAATTATTAAAAGAATAAAATGTTACATAAAAGCTTTCAAAGCTACCTAATTTTTTTTAGTTGTATAAATTAAAATTTACATCAAAAGGATTCGAGGGATGGAAGGGTTGTGGAAAAAAGGTATTAAAGTATGATAGAGCATGCTCATAATAGCTGAAAGTTTGCATTGCAATTGACGTGGATTTTAATTCTTAAACTATCTATACTATATAAAGTAAACTTGTTAAATAACTTCTTTTCTAATTCTTCTATCGTTCAATGATATCGACAAAGAAAGTTAGTCTTTTACTAAATATAGGTATATTTAATATTTAAGTAGAAAAAATTTTGTTTACTTTAACAATACATACAAGATACTTTTTGATATCGAAGAGTACATACTGATAATATTATGCATGTATAGAAATACCTGTAATAGAATGTAAATAGGTCGTTCGATGCATAGTTTATAAACTGACATTTTCGCCCTCCACAACTAATAATTCGGTGCTCAATAAATCTGGAGCATGACTAATTATTGTATACCTTTTCTGTGCTCCACTATTTTTGAAAGTCTTTAATACAATGATTAAACTGCTCCATATTATCTTTAATTATTTTAGATCAGTGTATCTTAAAATAAATATTACTAAACGATGACTTATTCATTGTTTATTATTTTTAGTTGATAATAAAATGTTATCTCACAAAAATCGGAATATTTTCGATTTCCAATAGATATTCTAATTTAGGCTTCTTAATAATAAAAAGATGTTGAGCATGTGCAAAATCTATAATATTTGAAAATCCTGAATGGCATCCTAAAGCTTAGTATCATATGTTGAACACTCATATATGATGTATGATACTTCTACATAATATATACATATCTTTTTTTTTTAGATATATTTTTTTTTTTCATTTTTTGGATTCGCATATTGTATAAGATACTTCACAGCTACGATAACGCATGTGGTAGCACAAGAACATGTGTGATGTCAGGAACACATAATGCGAATTTTCTCAAGAGATACACTGAAAGTTGGCTCAACAAAAAACTCATCCTTTTTTATCGTTATTTTATGATGCAAAGAAAATCTTTACTTTTATCGATTTATAATAATACGTTTTTACGTAAAATAAAAGAAAAAAAAAAATATTGGTTCATCTAAAAGTTGGAATACTTCCCATATTTTATTTCCTTCTATTTCAATTATTTTTATTCCTATGGAGTTCGTTAATTTCAGAACTTTATTTCTAGCTTAGGAGTAAAATCAATCTCACTGTTATATTTTTGCATGGTTAGTCAGTGAACAGCTTTTATGAAAGATGTTTCTGGCTTCTCTCACGTCTCCTTTTATAGTATATTTTTTTTTATCAACGAAAGCTCAGATCTACTAAAAATGCATAGAATGATAAATTGTGTATGCATTATATTTTTAAAATATTTTAATCAATAAAAGCCATTTCGGAATTTAATTAACTTAAAGCTGTAAAAATAGAGTTTCATCAAAGTTTTTTTTTTTTTTTATTTTAGTTCTAGATACTATTATTCGTTTTCATTCGAATGCTATGAATGTTTCAAATTTTAAATTCCACCCTTTTGTGTCACTTTTTTCTCAAATTATTTATCAAAAGCAATTAATTCTCATTTTTGAATTTTTCTAACGTGGTATGAAAAAACTTTGAGAGAAAATAATTCTTTTTTTCTATAATTCGTGAAAAGAGTATATTTTCTTATCAACTCAGTTGAGTTCACATCCAATGTCGCTACCGGAAATGAGATATTTTGACCATCAGACAGAATAAATGGAATGAAACCACAAAAAAAAAAATAAAAAAAAGTTTTAGGTCAGCCGACCAATTGATAGAACTTTTTATTAATAAAAATTTGTCACTTTTTTTTTTTATTTGATTAATGTTAATACCAACTTTATATTCAATTAATTTAATTGAAAAAAATTGCTTAACTGTAAAATTATGGAATCAATCGATAAAAAAAACTTTCACAAAAGAGACAATAAAAATACTAGTTACATTGAAATATTTATTTAATTAAAAATAATAATTATACATTAGGAAGAGTTTTTAACAAATGACTTAATTATTCTTACTTGTTCCGTTAATTCTAATAATTTATTTATTGTATTCTATAAGAATAAGAAAAAAAAGAAGAAAATAAGTAGAAAAAATAATTGGTTCTTTCCCACATATATATATATGAACAATCCCATG